CAGTTTTCCATTAGCTGTGCACTCCATGTTTTGAGAGGATTTTGGACAAAATGACCTGTGGTGGGTGCTTCTTAAATCAAGGAATTCCAGCCTTTGATTTAAGAAGGGTTACTGTAACCCTTTCTCAGTAACAAGCAAGTGGCGCTAAATTAAGCAACTGCAGCCTCTGTGTTTATTTTTCTGCACATAACATAAATGATATGCAAAAAAGGCTTGTCTACATGGCTGAGTGATCCTACCCACAACAAAAAGTAGAAGCCCCTCATAGGGGCCAGAAAGATGTAGGAAGGACCATTCTGGGGCCAGGCTTGTTCACTCCGGCAAATACATTGTCTGATTATCATCTTTAGGAATGAACCAGCCCATCCCTGCGGTGGTCCGAACAATCACCTAATTTGTCCATATAGTCAGCCTCACAGAATGTTTTCTCAGCTGCAGAGCAGAGTCCATTCCACCTGACAGCTACTCTGGCTTTTAAACAACCTTTTATCTGTTACCTCTGATTGCTGTTTGACATTATCAATAGAAAAAAATTGCAGATTGTAGTGGCAATCCTCTGTAGGTTGAATCTAGGCTACGTCCCCAATCCTTGAATTACATTACGTATCAAGCCTTTACAGGATGGACCCAGACAGCCCAGCTGAGTTGGCTAGATATCTCAGTGGTTGGATTACTGGGAGTTTGATTTGTCACTGTGGTTTCAGGAAGAAGACCAACCTGTAAGGCTCTGGGCAAACTATACAGTCCTAGAATGCCACCACAAGGACTGGTAATCCAATTCTGAATATTATATAGCTAGGAAGCCCTGGATAAGGACACCATAAGTTGAAATCAACTTGACAGCACATCATATTATAAAAGCCCAATTGGTTCCTGCCACCAGTATCCTGTATATTGTTGATTTCAATCTTGATACAATTGTTTGCCCATCTATAGGATTCCTAATGCTTAAGAAAGAATGACAATTAAGATTTTTTTTAAAAAAAACATTCTTTATGTAGAGGTGTGTTCTACCACCACCTGAACCCTGAAGAACAAATAAGACCCACATTTCCCCCCTCAGTGAGAAATGTGCCCTGGATGAGAGGGATAAATATGGTGTGCAAAGGGGAAAACGAGTAAGCAATGAATTAATGGAAAACTCGTGCTAGAGCAGGGCAGTGGAGTTTAGGGCACAAGGCGCCACTGATCAACACACAGCTTTTGCAGTGGTATTTATTACAGAAAAGGGTCAGAGTTAAATACCAGTCCTTCCTTATAATGCTAAGCAGTTTGTCTGGATTTTTCCAAATTTCATCATATTGGCAGAATTTTTAACCAAAGCATAACTCTACAATTTTCAGTAATTTTACCTATAACCTATCATTATGTGGCTGTTTGGAATTCACAGAGATTATTTTGAATTTAGTAACAATTTAATACAAATACCATAGCATCCTTCACAGTGGGCCCTCCACCATCATATACTTAAAAGCAATTGAGCCAAAGGAATGGATAGACTGATATCTTAAGGTCTGTGCCCTCCCTCCCCCTCTCTCTGTGTGCATGCACACGTGCATGTGCACGCACGCACACAAACACACACACACACACTGCCAGTGGTGTGGTGAGTGGTTAATCACAAGAGATTCAAGCCACAAAACCAACATGACTAAGAGTATTCCTTTCCCCCAAATAGCCATTATATTATATACATAGTATATAAACACATCCAAACTTCACTGCTGTTTCTCAGTATTTCTTCTAAATAAACCAGTCTATTCCCCTTCAGAATGAAGGCCCACATTCTTCTCACACAGCGGCTAGTCAGTTGACACTGGGGAGCCTGTCAATGGGAAATGAATACAACTGTACCCTGCATTTGGTGTTCCACTGTAACTGATTGATATCCAGAGTTGTTTTGCCTTGATACAGAAGGTGACATAGAACTATGTGGTTTAGTAGCTGTTCATAGCAATAACCCCCATGAATTTACATAACTCCTTTCTAAAGTTATACAGATTGGTAGCCATCACATTCCTTACATCCTGTAGCTGTGAATTTCAGTTTCAGTACAGATTCTGTCCTGGAGTCCCCACCATTCAGCATCAGCAGGTGACATTGAGTCTTATTATGATGTCAGAGAGAGAAAATATTTTTCTTAGCTCTCTCTTTCATGCATAATTTTATGCACTTCTATCATGTACCTCCTTATTTCCCCTTTTCCTGAACCAAATAGCTGCAGACACTGTAACCCTTTCTCGTAGCATAGTATTTGTTATCATTTTGAACAATCTTTTCTGGCTCTGTTTTAGTTTTGATGACCAGAACTCTACACAGTATTCCAGTACAGTCATGGTATAGATTTATTCAAGAGAGAGAGAGAGAGAGAGAAGGCTGGGGTAGGACTCTGATAGCTGAAACGATATTTCCCCACCCCAAAGCAAGGATATCCAGATCATGTATTAGTTCATCTCAAATCAAAACTGGACATTGATACAGGTGTTAATTCTACCCCAGGTAAACACAACACCATAATCCCACTAGGCAGCAAAAGCATCTGCAGGAATTTTTCTAGGGGGATGAGGAAAACTACCAGCATAATTTGCATGTATATCACATGCCACTAAAACACAGTGCATCTCTATGTGTTCAATAAAATGATACATATATTCAGGATTCTGAGGGGGAGAGAAAGGAGTGTCCCTCTTGCTCCCCACAGTTACCCATAATAGCTATCCAACTCCAGGGCACCTGCAATGGTGTGGAAGAGCTGAACAGAAACACAGGTATCAGCATCTACAAAGCAGCAGACTGGCAGCACAGTTCTGTCCACAGTTAAATAATCTTACTACTCCAGGCCAACTGAACTGTATTTGGGTTTGGTTTAATTGACTGGGTCCTGGGTAAGCAGAGGGCTTTTAAGCATACTCTTCATAAGGGAATCAAGGGGCAGAGTTCATGTCCTGTGTTTAAACTTCTTGGTGAACATTTGAAAGTGACACTATGGTTCATAATCTGAGAATTATTAAATGGTGCTTAACAGATTCTGGATAGAATCTAGAAATGACCCAATTGCATCTACTACTCTCCCTTTAGGAGGGTGAAAGTGTGCATTCTATCTTGGCATGTATGGTGACTGAAAGATATATAATGAATGCCAGGTCTTATTGTTCTGTCTCCCTGATAGGAATGGCTCATCTGTTATATTTCCTGCAGTGGGAAAAATGCTAGATAAAAAGATTTGTGGGTGGCAATGGGAATTACTGCTGTTTTCCTGGGATGAAAATAAATTGTATATTTCTCCAAATGTCCAAAGAGGAATGAAATGTTTGCTAGAGCTCCTTAGGATACAGTCTTGTACACACTTGCCTGGGAGTGAGACCTCCAGCTATCAATGAGATTGGTCTCTGAGGAATTTTGACTTTATACTTTATAGTATTTGTTGCGGCCTACTTCCAGGATTTCCATTTGTTTCCTCAAGGGTGTACCACATGTTATCCTCCAAATCTTTTTGGACTCCAAATCCTATCTCCCCTAATTACCATTAATTATGGATCATGGGAATAGTAATTCAAGACAGCTACAAGAAGGCACAGAGGTTCCTTATCCGTGATCTCACCCTTGAATCTGCAGCACCCAGGACAATCTCTGGTGGTGACAGAAAGCGTTATTAAGAGGTCTGCATCTTGTCACTAAAGGCAAAATACATTTTATTCCCCCCCTTCTTCTTTACTGATTCACTTTACTGCCCAGAAAAAATCTAGTATGCTGTCCTACAGTGGTGACAGAAAGAGTGTTATTCAGAGGTCTGCATCTTGTCACTAAAGGCAAGTGCAACTCCTGAATACATTTTATTTTCCCCCCCTTCTTCTTTACTGATTCACTTTACTGCCCAGAAAAAATCTAGTATGCTGTCCTAAATCCACATTGCAGGGACTTCTATCTTTTTATACTTGCCCTTATCAAAGTCCATGATTTTATACTGTACAGTGGGGTCTCTACTTAAGAACTTAATCCATATTGGAAGGTGGTTCTCAAGTTGAAAAGTTCTTATGTTGAATCTGCATTTCCCATAGAAATGCATTGAAAACCATTTAATCCGTATCTGCGTATCAAAGTCCATGATTTTATGCTGTGCAAAAGAAGTGAGAATAGATAATATAGTACAGTGTATGTTCTCAAAGTCAATGACAAGTTTTTTCCTTACACATTACGTCCTTCATTTCAAGGAAGATGCTCTAGGCCATCTCTGTTCTTACATTTTTTTAATTGGTTGGTTATGATCAGAGTCCATTCTTAGGGATAGAATTTTTGGAATTTCTGAACAACAAATACTGTAATTCTCCATTGCGGAAGTTCTACCTACCTTACAGTATGTTGCAAATACCTGAATTTGGTCTTCCGCATGGAGAATCAGACTTCTAGTGTTCCAACCACTGAGACATCTAGTCAACTCATTTGGGCTCCTTGGGTCCATCCTTAGCGATTTCCTGTAGATTTTGGATTTTCTGAACTACAAATTCCATATCTCTCCATTCCTGGAGTTCTATCTAACTTTCAGGTACCTTGCAAATACCTGAGAGAAAGGCCTAAACCAGTGGTTACCAAACTTTTTGGACTCATAGCTCCCCTCAGGCAGTGGCAGAAGAGCAGCAGCAGCAGCAGTGAGGGGTATGAGGTGGAGCAGGAAGCAAAGAAGCCTGAAGGAGCTGGAACTCGATCTGGAAGACCAGCAGCAGCACTGCCATCTCGCAAAAAAACAAAGAGAAGCTTCCACATTTCTCCTGACTGGCTTGGCAACACACCAGGGAGCTGTGAGGTGCGGTAAGGGCCATAAGCTACTACGCTGCACACTTTGGGAACTCCTGACCTAAGCCAAAACACTCTGAAGCTTAGCTAGTCCAAGCTTCATTCAGTCCAATTGCAAGGTATTTGTATTTGCAACACATGACACATTTTAATATAATAAATTATATAACAGAGACTTAACAGATAATGGAGTAGAAATTAGAACCTACCAGTTCTTGTTGCATAAAGTGCCCTCCAGCACTTTATTAGTTGATACCACAGCGCTTGTGCAATTGGAAAACACTGCTGATGTCCGGAAGTCTTCACGTCCCTTAGTGTGTGTGCTATACAGAGCATTGTTGCAGGGAAGGAAAAAAGCTGCATCAACCAGGATGCAAACCTGGTCTAGCACTGCATCATATAACACTCTTAACATATTGAAAGATCTTGAGAGGCTATAGCCAAATTAAGTAACAACAACAACACTTTTCTTCCACCTCTGTCTAGTGCTTCTCCTCTCATCTCTGCTGCATGAGACTGATATTGGCAACCACGTTGGGATCAGTTGAGGGAGAGCTGATGAAATATCTTATAGAATAAAAACTAATTTGCCTACCTGCAAGACCAGCATGTTGCTTTGCCCTTGGAAGCAAAATATACTATCAGCCTTTGCACTATGGAGCTATTTTTATCCTGATTTGAACAGTGCTTATTGTGCAGGGTGTATTTCATGGTTTAGAAAACTGGTGTCAGCAGAAAGATGCTCACTAAAGTGCTTTCTACTTGAGAAGAGGGAATTCTCAGAGAAAGCTCCTGTAGATATCTTACATAGGTCACAACTCATTTTGAGAAGACAGCTGGAGGTAATGGCTCAGTAATGGCCAGATTACTCAGGATGTTGATCACATGAGGAAATAGATCTCAATTTAGACTGCTCGTGGACTGGAGACCACATAATTTATGGTGAATTGTGCTCCAGTCCAATACATGCCCAAGCTGGACCTTTTGGGGGCCAGGCTAGAGCAATTAATTCCCTGAGAGATGGAAGGGTTGCTTTAGGGAAGATCACTCCCTGCAAAGTGATCCTTTTCAGTGCAATCAGATGCATGCCTTTACAGCAATCTGATTGCCTCTCAGTCATTCGCCTTTCAGCTTGTGACTACATCAGATGAAGAAATGAATCATTTTTTGAGCTTGACTTAGACATCTAGTAAGCAGTCTTATCATCAGGTCTGGCTTGAGATATTCTGCTGCCTGAAGAACAGAGCAGCAAACACTACCTCTTATTCCTCTAAGTCGTGTTATTTTAGCCCATAGCTTCCTCTTACTCCCTTGAGCCAACCAAATTATTTTAGCACATTGCCCAGAAGTGCCTCTTCCTATTGCAGGCAGTAATACTGCGCATTATTATCCCATAATGAGAAAGTAAATAATGATTTGCTGCCCTTTTATTGCATCCCAAATCCGTTGCTTACACACTAATTGCATGGCTAGCTCAGCTTACTGTGGCATCAAGGTATTTCTGAGAGAATTGTCTCCTAAGAGTTAAAAACTGTTTTTCGAATAAAACCAGTATCTCAGCACTGAGCCTTAAATCTTGGGAACTGCTGAGACGGGTAAAGGTCCATGTGTTTGCAAAGTCACAGGGGAATAGAGTTTAAAATTGTTTGGAAGGCAGCCAGTAGACAAAGCATAGTTTCCTATTTCCTGGCATCACAAGGAAAAAAAATCCTGAGCATGGCATATCCAAGCAAATGTCTGTCCCTAAATTAAACTGATATAGAGATTGGTGTCTTAATTATAAAAGGTTTGTGAACTAATAGGCAGGCAAGGGAGAACAGGACTGGCTGGGGAACGAGAGTTCAGGAAAAAAAATCACCTTGCAATTATAGCTTAGAGCCCAGAGTCTAACAATGGCACACTCCATCTGTAAGTGTTAAATTTTTGACTAAGATTGACTAAGGTGGCAAAATGTGAATTGCTTACTGTTTTAGAATAATATTTTAGTATTATAAAACATTTTCCAATTAGGTGTAAGGGATAAATAAGTATAATCCTTAATTCTTTTTTTTTTTTTGATAGTGCAGTCACTTTTTTGTAATGTTAAAAGTGTTACAGCCCAATTTTTTGCCTGTTTACACAGAAGTAAGTCCCCTGAATTCAGGGCATACTGTATGAATAGGACTGCAGCCTTAAACTGTCTTATCACATAGTCTGGCTTTCCACACCAACTCTAGCTACAGTCACACTGGCAATAATAGCCACATTTAACTGTCATTTAATTCCATTTGTATTTTATTGTTCACAATAAAGGGTGAAATTGATTTACATGGGCTGCAAAGCATGTTTTTTTTTCAACTGGCTGGCAGGGGCTTTTTAAAATACCTCACTTCTAAAATCAATTCAATTCAGTGCAGTTTTGTGGATGTGAATGCTGTTGTCATTTAAATTTGCGTCTATGTGGATTTTGGGTGGGAGGGGCACTGCCAGTTTTCTTTTAAATTGTCACAGGAAGGATGACTGCCCCGTCTGTGGCTGGGTGAGCTCCTCACTAAGTTGTTGAAGGGCCAAAACTGAGAAAGATCATTTATTCACACAGTATTGTTTACATGATTGTTATTTAGACTAATGTATCCCATTCAAGATAAAACTGCAATACAGAAAATTAGTTAAGTCCTATATGTCTGTATGTATTGTGTGCTGTCGAATTGAGTCCAACTTATGGTGACCCTTTCCACGGTTTTTGAGGTACTGTATACAGATGCGGTTTACTGTTCCCTTCTTCTGGGGGGGCCATGGGCTGTGTGCCTGCCCAGGCTGGCTCTTCTCTCAGGAGAAACAGTGGGGAATTGAATTCCCAACCTCTGGCCCACAGCCAGAGACCTAAACCACTGAGCTATCCAGCTAGCTAAATCCTATGTACATCCGGAAAAATAGGCTGACGTGCCTAAGTCTCAAATACTGCCAGTCCATAACTGGGCTGTGACAATGTTGCCTTCCCTCTCAGCCTTTCTCCACAATAGTCATTTTGCTATACTGTACCTTTTTTCTTGCTTTTCCTGCTACCTCAATCTAATCTTAAAATTCTTCCCTCTCAGCCTTTCTTCACACTAGTCATTTTGCTATACCTTTTTTCTTGCCTTTCCTGCTACCTCAATCTAATCTTAAAATTTACTGATTTGGCTGTACTGCTGCTCCTGAAAAAATGGTTTGGAAGAGAGCTTTTTGGATTCCTTAATCAAGTACGCTGGCTCAAGGCTCTCTTGCTTATAAGGTAGTGATTAGGAAGCACAGACTACATCTCCCAGAATACCCTGCCAACATGGCACAGGCCATTATAGCTGGAGTACTTAATTCCAGAATACCCTGCCAATGTGGCACAGGCCATTATAGCTGGAGTACTTACTGTAGGAAGTGTAGTCCACAAAATCAGCTTCCCCCTCTCTGAGACCCAGTGTGATATAGTGGTAAAAGTGTCATACTGAGAGATCCTAGTTTAGGGTTCCATTAAACCATGATTCATACTGGGTGTCATGGGGACATTTGTTGTTATGTGCTGTCAAGTCACTTCTGGCAAACCTACGAATGAGTGATCTCCAAAATGTCCTGTCTGCAACAGCCCTGCTAAGGTCCTGCAGACTCAGACCTATAGCTTCCTTTAGGGAGTCACCCCATTTCATATTTATTCTTCCTCTCTCCCAGCTGCCTTCCCCCTTTCCCAGCATTATTATCTTTTCCAGGGAATCCTTGCTTCTCATGATGTGACCAAAGTCAACCTCAGCTTCAACATTTTTGCCTCCAGAGATACTTCAGGCTTGATTTGATCTAGGATCCACTCGATCATCTTTCTGCAGTCTAGGGTATCCACAAAGCTCTCCTCCAGCACCATATTTCAAATAAATTAGTCTTTTCCTGTCTGCTTTGTTAACTGTCCATCTTTCACACCCATACATAGTGACTGAGAATACAAGAGTGTGGGTGACCTTGGTCTTGGTCTCCAGTGAAACATCCCTTACACTTGATGCCCTACCTTATAGATTTATCTTGTGAGAATAAAGTGGGGAGAAGGAGAGCTATGTATGCTACCTTGAGGTCATTAGATGAAAGGCAGAATATAGATATAATTAATAAATGAATGAGTCAAACATCATGATCTTATGCCACAATTAACGCTCAGCCCATACACACATTGCACCAATTGTTAAATATTTCAGAGATGTTTTTTTCTTTGTATCAACTAAAAAACAGAGAGACGAATAAAAACCACACACAGTGTATAGAGGTCCTCAAGTGCTTCCTGAACCAAACAGAAGATGATAAGGTTTCTTACATAAAAATCAGCCCCTTGCCTGTCACAGTCTATATGCAGATTTAATTGCCAAAGATTTGAAATGTTGCTCTGGTAAATTCAAGTTAACTTTGTTGTTTTGACTTCCCATTTTTCTCAGCCAGTCATTTTCCTTGAGATATACTGTATTGTACAAATTCTTGTCAGGGTGTGGATTCCCAAAAGATGTTTAGCAGTCCTGGCAGAATTGTTGTTGACTGATGTAAAACGAATCCTGCCAGCAAACGCTGAATAGTTTACATTTGTCAAAGTCAGTTCATCCTGCTTCTTTTTTTACTTGGATGAGAACAGAACAGTGTTTACACTAGCCGCAATGAACAGCTAGGCCATTTGTGAGAAGTTATGATTTATGGGATATGCTAAGATACGCTCTTTTTTCTTTTTTCATTGAAAGGGTGTCTTGTGGAATAGTTTAGCTATTATGAGTGAATACTAAAAGGATACTCTTAACCTCAATGATCTTACTCTCATGTTAGGTACCTCACTGCTATTTGGTTTAAAAAAGATTTCCACTGGGGTATATTTAGCATTAAAAAGGACCCCAAAAACTCTTCAGTGACAATATTGTATTGCAGAGTTTTTAAGTTCCTTTTGCTCTACAGCAGACTCAATAGAAGAATAGCTACAAAGTCCCCAGAGTCCATCCCTTTCTCATTGACTGGAAATAGCTACAAAGTCCCCAGAGTCCACCCCTTTCTCATTGACTGGCATTTACAGTTTCAACAACTCAGTCTGAGACATTTGCAGAAGAAAGAATAAAAACATTTCTTTATATACAGTTGGTTAAAATTAAAAAGTTTTGTATACTGCTTTCTTTACTGCACTGTATACAGTTGGTTAAAATTAAAAACTTTTGTATACTGCTTTCTTTATTGCACAGAAACTTAGCAACCAACAGAACAGATCAACAGCGAAACTTAGCAACCAACGGAACAGATCAACAGCAAACAAAAATGCCACCAACAGACCAAAGAGAGAGAAAGAACA